AGCAAATTTTTCCCGAGATGTTATTATGAACTTTCACAATGACCATTTTTGGGCCGACGAAAATCCCCACGTTATTAGAGAAAGTCATTTTCAGGAACAATTTTCGCTGAACGTTTTGTCAGGAATGATTTGTGAATACCTTATTGGCCCATTTTTCCACCAGCAAGAATAACAGATGAATCCTATATGGACTATTCGCAAAATCATTTACCCATTTTGTTAGAAGAAGTGACAGTACTTGTAAGAGGCAACATGTGGTTTATACACGACAGGGCTCCAGCTCATTTTAGGGTTCTTGCTCGTCAGCATCTCGACATCATCTACCCTAATCGCTAGATTGGACGTGTAGGACTTCAAAATTGGCCAACTCGCAGTCCTGATATGAATCGTCTAGATTTCTATTCATGGGGTCATCTGAAAGTTTTTGTTCATGGAACTCCTCCACTAGATGTGAATGACTTGAGAAATCGAATAATTGGCAATTGCAATGTCAATGTTTTTTGCAAACTTCAAACCCCTGTATCTCAAAAACGAGGCAACTACGGACATATGTTCATAGAAAAGTGGACTCGCTTCCTGAAGGAACAAAGACAATATATTTCAACATTCGAAAACTGATGTAGTATGGTAATTATAATCAGTTAAACTTGAATAATTATTTGTAGTAGCCTGTCGAAGATTTTTTTTTCAAATATACTGGACTATCAATAACAGTAATGACACCCTGTATCTCAAACACGAGGCAACTCCGGACATATGTTCATAGAAAAGTGGACTCGCTTCCTGAAGGAACAAAGACAATATATTTCAACATTCGAAAACTGATGTAGTATGGTAATTATAATCAGTTAAACTTGAATAATTATTTGTAGTAGCCTGTCGAAGATTTTTTTTTCAAATATACTGGACTATCAATAACAGTAATGACGAAGAACTTCAAATAGTCCTAAGGATGTGTGAAAGGCATTTAATAGAGTTTCTACATCCATTGAAAAATGTATGATTTCCATTCAATTCCATTTGATTCTATTGTCAAAAGTCCAGATGCCATTTAATACTGGATACAACATGAACAAGAAATTGTTCTATGCTAAAGAAAAATATTAACCACACCACACTGTAACAAAATGAATCCGAAACTAACACGTTTCTCTGACATTAAAACATTTTTTCGAAACAAATAAATATGAAATTACTTCTATCCCAATGACAATTATCTAATACCCTGAGGGCATTATAATCATGTACCTGATAAAATATTCTGTAACACAGTCCCCGTTTTATCCATGGGATATCATGTGTAAATTCCAGGTATGATTTGACAGAATCTGTGTTTTTTTTGATATGTACAGGGTGCCCTCAAGTTTGTGAAACTGTCTATCTAATAAATCTCTAATAGTTCACATTCGCAGGACTTTTCTTAAAAATGATCTTATTTTTTCTGCTTATCTTATCACTAGTACCATAGACATCTTCTCACAATAATAAATTAACAAAATCTGTATCACCGTTAGTGAACATGTTGAATGTATCGTTCTCACTCATTCGTCACTGTTATATCTTCACTGGGTCTTAAATGTTTTTTAGATATTTTTTTATTTTTACTGCTGAGGCTACAAAAACTTAAGTTATGAAAATATTTTATTCGTTCTGATAACAAGAAAGGAAAATAGTTTTCGAATTATCCAGTTCGAAAAACTGGAAAGTTTCTGGTTTGATCAAAAATATGTTCTAATACTTGTAGATAAACAGTCAACTACTGTATCTTCCGATGTTTTTCTTTCACAACGCTGCCTTCATTTATTGTCAAACAACAATGTCAGTTATCAACCAATTCGAATCTGTATTAATTATAGCAGAGTTGTTTAAAGTATTTAAGTTTATTGAAGATAATTTACAGAGCAGTGCAACAGGGCCGTATCTAGGGAGTTATCGAATACGATACTGACTTTTGTTGAATTCAAAACATTTACGATACACCCGTTTATCAGTTTTTCTCTACAATAATCATGAAAATCACCACAGTAGTTTCATCATTCGAAGCAATGTTCCATCAGAATGCTGTTGAATATATTGAATATATACTCGAATTATTCTATAATATAGAATATAAACATGGAACTGTAATAAAAGGATAGATTAAAGCAACAGCAATGGCGGTCAATAAAATCACACTTTCTGGCAAGAAATCAATTCAAAAAAAACTTTTTTTCCACACACCAGAATAGCAGAACTATTCTCAAGAAGCGTTTCACCAACCAAGTGATCTGAACTGTTTAGATCAGTTGATATTTCGAAATACATACCTTATTATCAAAGTTAACTCTTCACTCCAACTTTGTTAGCGAAAGCTGAAAATATGAACGAAGGAATTGAAGCACAGCTTCACAAATATAAAATTTTGCAGAATATTAAGTTTTACGAAATTGATGTTTTCCTGTATTTTATTTAAATCTGCTTGACCTTGAGCGACAGTATCTTTATAACAAGCCAATGAATTATTGTTTCCATAGTCGAATAGTTTTAAAGACACCATCAGATATTCTCCATATATCAAAATAGCCAAAACACGTATGTGACGTAGCAGGTGATCTTAGCGGCGAAAAAAATGTTTCGAAAAGATAACAAGTTGAACTTCTAACATGTACTGATGGCTTTCTGAGATAGAACACTCCCCGTAAAAGTATCTGTAGACGAAGAATAAGTCCCTAACCTTCATTTAACACCTTCCACACTAGATTGCTTGTGATGATTGTGTCTCCGATGAGGTAGATGGATCTTTTCTCGATATTATCTAGCAACTTCAGGATATGAAGTTGTCACGTTGTCAGAGCCTTCATGGTCGGGAGTTTCTGGACCATCTCATCGGCTGACATTTAGAAAACTGTTAACACTAGGCATACCTTCTGACTGCAGGTGGTTTTCTTTTCCTTCTATCTGCGGTGTATGTTGAGGATTTTGATACATCCCATATTTTCAAACCAGCCCTACGTTGGGCGCCAGATAAGCCAAAACGGAGAATCTCAGGGTTTCATTATTGAATGTAGATAAAGCTGGCAAAGAAAATGAAAAGAATTGTGTTGTCCGTTTATTATTTATAACAGTTGTCAAAACTCGCAGCTTCGACTCCACACTAAAAGAAGACATTCGTCTTACACAATTGAAAAATGAATGTATGAATTTGACTACGCCCTAATGACGTCAGCAGTGTTAATTAAGAAGTTTCAGGCAGTTTAATAAATATTTGAAGGTATAATGTGTTTTTCGTCCTCAAAAGAAGACCAGCAAATGGAAAAAATACTAAGAAGCAAATTTACGCAAATAGCCATAAGGTTCAACTTTCAAATGAAACTGGAAAATAACGATACTCTTCACAAGTAGTTTAGTCACTGAAAAATTGAATTGAAAATTGAATTTATTTTCCACCGATAAGGTTGTTATAAAAAACCTATGCAAAAATACATTCAAATTCAAATGTGGAAAAAATATAGTGACGCTATCTTCCACAGAAAAGGTTGACTTATAATTACTCATTTAAATTATTATAAACAAAACTGTAAATATGTAGTGATGTTGTAACTTTGTCTCCGTCGAAGTGGAGGGAGGAATATGTTTTGTCATAATTGATTCATGAGAAACACTAGCGATGATGCTAAAGATATCCGATCAATGCCTTTTGTAAGGGTTGATCGAGTTAGGAATTAATAAACAGAAAAGATATGAGAACATGATTTGTTTGAAGGTGGTTGACAATAATTCGTGATGCATTTCATTAGTTCGGACTTCCATTGTCTAAGATGATATAAATTGATTCAAAATCCCTGAAAGAATCTATAAAAAATTCCAAAGATTAGCTGAAAAATTACAATTATATCAAGCAAAAAAACTGAAATTACAATGAAATAAAATACAAGCAACAATCAAAAATTGAACCATTAACACGAGATGAAAATTAAAAACTTTCTAACAAAAAATCAAAATTGAAAATTAAAAGATTCCAAACCAGGTTATGTCACGACGTTTCGATTGTTAGTATCCACAATCGTCTTCGGGTGATAACTGGACTTATTTCTCCGAGATCTGACTATTTATGGGTCATTCGAATGCTTTCACCTATCCCCTGTTCCCTCTCTCCGCTTCATTGGTTTTAGCGGGAAATGACCGTTTGGCGGGAGTTGGTCGTTTTCCGCTTGATTAGGGGTTTCCATATGTTACGTATCTCTACGCTAGCTTGGCTAAATCCGTTGTTGGACAATATATATGCGGCTTCTTTGAATCTCCTCCTTAACCAGTGTTCCTCCTTGTGGATGATTTCAGATTGAGCACACTTGATGTTATATTGATGAGTTCAAACATGCTCTGCTGCAACCACAGTCCGCGTTTGGTGGCCTGGTTTTCGTGAAGCTGCCACAGATAGTGTTCCCAGATCTGAAACAGGTCATGATGTTATACTTGGACCCAATCCTTCTGAACCTTTCCGATAATCCTCTGATGTAGGAAAGTACAAGTACTGGTTGTGGCGGCTCCTCTTCGTTGTGGAGCTCTTGCCGTCTTCTAGCTGAAGCCTGTTCTACCATCACTCTAGAGTAACCACTCCGTCGAAGGTCATTTTTGATGAAAACTATATCCACAGCGTAGTTTCAAGGATGCTATCAATGTGAAGCTGAAATTTCGAAGGGGTTGCTAGAACTTAGGACTTGCTTGCAAACGAGAAGTAAAAGAGTACCTATATATAAGAAAATGAATATTTCAAAATAAAATCTCGAATTATTCATCTCTTCCAACTACGTATACAGTAGGTTCTGGTAAATGCCTTTCGTGAGGTAGGAATATTAAATTTGTGTGTTATATACCATAACTCTGCATTTTCAGTTTGTTGGAAAAATGCCTTTCACTAGTTTTCGACTGTGTTATATCAAATAATAGTATTCCAATAACGGTAGCAATTGATTCTGATGTGAACCCAGTTCAACCCTGTTAATATACTCGAACTCGTCAAACAATTTCAGAATACTGACTAAATTCATAATGGAAGATAGTCGCATATTGAATCCCGGTATTTCTATTAAGGCTAGCGTGACTTTGGAGGATGTGAAAAAAATAATTTTTGAGTCATATGGAATTAAAGCCAAACAGTTGCATGAACTCAATGGATACGATGATTGGAATTATCATGTTACCACAGAAAAAAGTGATTCCTCAATTGAGAGCCGTGGTGAGGTTGGTGAAAATGGTTATGTCCTGAAAATAATCAATTCCTTGGATTCCAAGAAACCAGGAGTTTTCGAAGCACAATCGTTGCTTTTATTGCACTTAGGTGAGTAGACTTTTACCAAACTCATTTTTGAAGTAAAACTCTTTCACGCGCGCTTTTCTTGGGAAGCAAGCTGGTGAATGCATGACGAGAGCGTTACGAAAAGTGTAATTTGGCGAGGCGAACGTTGGAATAAAATTTATTTACACGCGCTTGACAAAATCTTGTCACGGAGCTAGAATTGACAAAGGCGCACGATATCATACTTATACATACAATAATGATATAAAAATATAGATATGACGGAGTCCTTGGCTTTCTACTCTGTTAAGGAAAAATTGTTTCTGGAACAGGAAAATTTTCAAGCAATAAATGACTTTCGAAAGCCACTGTGCATGGTGTGTGGGCTCAGGATCTTTAAAAGTAGTGTTTCCCAAATGCAGGGTTTTAAATTCGATCCTCACCATTGGGATCTCGGAAACTATGAGAGATACGAAGATGGTTAAATCGGGGCAATGTTGCGAATTTACCTGACCAACAATATGCCGTTGAGAAAGTTCTGAAATTTCAAGTATATCCGGAGATATCCGGAAAAACAGAAATTTCCGAAAATGGTTTTAATTTTTTTCTGGCTTTATTTTTCGAAGGATTCGAAAATAAATTACACTTTCACATTGCCACTTTTTTCCTGATACATAATGGTGTATCCGACGTTTCGTCTTCCGACCACCATCATCTACTTTATTTTTTCGAATGGCCGCTACATTACATTTTTTCTGTTTTGAATAGAACCAGATTTTACCTTTTCAATGATATAGCATAAGTTATCATTCTCATTCGGAAAATTGGAGATATTGAAAAAAATTAATTCTTATCATAATAGGCTTCGAATTTGATGTTTCTGAAGACTTTCAATTTTTTACACTCAATGACATTTTGTTATTGTATAAGTCATTGAATTTTCGGCGAAAAATGGCTTTCACGAAAGAAGAAAAAAGAGATATGATACAAATGTATTACAAATACGATAGAAACAGTGTTAGGGCATCGGAAATGTATTTAATCTTGTATCACGAAAGACGACAACTACATCAAACTATGTTCAAATTATTGGATAAAAAACTCACCAAGTTTGGTTCATTTGAAAAGCCGACGAAAACATAAGGAGNCCTCCTCGACCAGATATTTTTCTCTAGATAATTTATCTGGTTATCTTAGCTCGCACAAGTTTCTCAACTTCTGAGAGTTGTCGTTCGTATGGGGCGACAGCTGATTAACGGAAAAACAGATTGTAAACATATTTTTTTAAACAGATATAGATGAAGCTAAAGAAGTTTTACTTGAGTCGTGTGATATAAAGTACGCTCGCTTTTTTTGGGAATGAATGACCAGTCTTGGATAATTGGGTTTCAAATACTCTGCCCACTATGCCAGCGCTGCTAAATCGAAATAAAATTAATTTTTTCACGAATACGATTAATTTTACAGAAAATTATGGATTTCGCTGCCCCAAGCCCATTTTGACAAAGGCAGGACAATTTTTTGAAACGGTGGAGTTGAGAAGTGGAGAGCATATAGTTCGATTGCTGGAATATATAGATGGTACGATTTTTCATAAGGTACCTCGAACACCCCGTTTGTTATATCAAGCTGGAGAAATCGTCGGCAGAATGGATATAGCTATGAAGGTAACGTGAAAATCTTTATCTTATATCATTAAAATTATATTAACATTGTTTTTGTGATATTCAGGGATAGCAAATTAGCGTAACACCACATTTTTTTTTCAAGTAGAATGATATTCTATGCAATTCAATTGAGTTTTTTTTTTCATAAAATATTGGTTTAATCCGCGAATGGCGTGAAGCTGACTGATACATCAATCTTTGTCAAATCATTTACATACAGAGTGTATCAACGATAGAGATACAAAAAAATGTTTTGGGAAAAAGTTGTAGATATCAATGGAATATATGTTTCAATTACTATTACTAATATACAGGATGTCCAAAAAATGTGTGACAGACCCAACTTATGTTTTTTCTTGGACAGAATGCTTCTCAAGGTACTGAACCACCCAGTTTATACCGGGTGGTTTAAAAGTTATAGTGAAATTAATGTCAAAAAATTTAACACCAAATATCTCTTACTCGCCCAAAAGGAATGAGGACATTTCTCTACCAAATATTCTTGAGGATAGTGTAAATAAAGGAAACTGGGAATCAATTTTATCTCATTTTTTTCAAATGGACCACTCCAGTGCATTCCCAATCGAGTTTTAAACACACAAATCCACAATAGAAATTCGGAGAAAATTACTATAAAATTCTCCATTCAGAGGCCCATCAGAGGTATATGGTCCTAACACCTGATCCTTAATTATGCACACCCCCCACCCAAACATTCATCGACCACCTATTTAGGTTATAGACTTCTGTCATCCAATGTGTGTTCTCTGTCGAGTAGTAGGTAGTATATATTATATCAATTTACAATGCCATTAGTTTTGAATGTGGACTCGTCACAAAACAAAACATATTTCAAAATATACGGTTCTTCTAAATCTAAAGCAAATGAACTTTAAACGTTCAAGCCAGTCTCTATATACCTACACAGTAGGTTTAATGGACTGACGCCTATCAGAAAACAACTACTCCCCTGGCTAATACCACGAAGGGCGTTGGATTATATCCGACAGGCGTCAGTGCAGGAATCTTCACAGAAAATTTCCTGCATATGCAATTGGCAATACAACTGAAAGAGTCGACCTTCAATTATGGAACGGGCACACTTGCAGACCGGTTTCGGGCTTATTAGCCACTCATCAGTGCAAGATAGTGACCATCATCGACCTAAAGTCAATGATATTCCACAATTGAAAAATCGGAATTCTTTCAGAGTATTTCATTCCTCTTCCAAACCTACTGTGTAGGTATATAGAGACTGGCTTGAACGTTTAAAGTTCATTTGCTTTAGATTTGTCGACTGCCAGTCTTCAAGCATAGCCCACTGACTAATAAGAAAATATACGGTTCTTCTCTAAATGAATTCAATAAATTTTGGCAATATTGAACTCTGGTATCATAATCCGTTTCAAAGAGCCCTTGATGTAATTTAATTCGGCATGGAAGAAATTAAAATACACTATCTTCAAGTATATTTGGTTAAAACATTTCCTCATTCCAATTGATCAAGTATGAAATATTTGGTATTGAATGAATTCATTTTTGACATAAATTTCATTATGACTTCTGAACCACTCGGTATAAATCCAAACAAACCCATATTTTTGGGAAGCATTCTACCCAAGAAATGCAATCGAGTGAAAATATATAGAGTATTGTATTCAAACATAAGTTTGGTCTATCACACATATATTGGACACCCTGTATATTAGTGATATTATGAGAACAAGAAGGTACCCAGAACGGAACCCTGTGGTACACCAATTTCAGTTATTTTCTTCCCTGAGGTATAGTGATAATTAATTTGATTCATTTATGCAAGAATAAGTCAACAATTAATCTCGCCAGCCACCCGTGTTGGTGAAACGTTAGGATACAGTTTCAAACCACGACGGCTTTAAAACCCGAACGAAGATCATAGCACTGAAAATATTGGCCGCGAAAGCCTTAATCAATTTAATTAATCTAATGTTCAATATGCCATTCACCAATATTGTCACAATAAGCAAATGTACGGACTTTCTCTTGCACATTGCACAGAATAACTTCTGGAGTATCTCTGTTAATTTCGACCCCAATTCGAGTTTTCAACTAAATTTCACTTCATCAGTCGTCTAGCAATCCACCTTATAACATCTCGCGAACATCATGCCCTTTTTTCTGCTTCCTGGTAGCCATTTGACTTTTCTATTTCTCTCAAGTCACCTGAAATGACTGCAACGCAACTTATTGCGTTTACCTCCCATATTCTCATGACACCCATTCCAACCACCTATTCCCCGTGGTAGTCTATACGGGTCTTTTGCTGGACGTATGTAATATTCTCCTGGATATAACTTAAGTTGTTCATCAATTATTTGTAAACCAAAACCTCACATTCGCATAATATATGACGAGCTATCTCTGACTCTTTGTTGCGGTGCCTGCAGTTGAGGTCTCCGTTTACCAGCCCTATTTTGCTCAGATGTCCTCTTGCGTGTTAATAGTCAATCTAATCCTGTTTTTCTGAGTTCCTCACGTCAGTCCCAGACCAGTCTTGATGTCAGGTTCATCAGTTCATCAAGATTTCTCTTCGCACAGTATCTAGTTCACGTCCAATGTTCGGTTTTTGACCCATCTGTATATGTTGAGAACTTATAACCCAATACTTATGTTAAACTTCAAGAGATACACGTGTTCAACTCAAGTTTATTCAACGACAAAAAAAAACCATTCGTACATAACTACTACAATAACATGATAGAAACATATAATAAAACAATATTAAACTGATGAAAACCTCCAGAAGAGGCTGCGTCTATAGCCAAAAAACTATTTGTACACCATCTTTGTACAGTATCATTATACTACATCATAGAAACAAGGCATTCACCAACAGTATACCAGGTATTTCTGCTGAGCATGTACTTCAAATCATTGTTCATTCTTCATCCTTTGCAGTGTAAGACTTCAACCGCGTTTGTATAGAATATGTATTTTGGTGCCACGTAGTCCAAGAACATGTTAGATGTTCGTTACTTCACATATTCCAAAATTTCTGTTTTGCCCGATCCCATGTAGGTCAATGAGTTTTCTAGTCTGAATTGGCCAACTCTTAGCCATTATCACAAGATGTAAAAGAGAAAGATTCGAGAGTATTTTCAATGCATCTGTTGGGATGGTTTTCGTTACTCCGAAATATGCACCCTGCTCAGTTTATTGCAATCAGTCGTTTGCTTGATATTTGGCCAACAAACTATAAATGCATATGTTATCATGGGTTCAACTTGACCTCTCCCGACAGATGTATCTCTTCACCCCCGAAATTTTAGAGGTCCTAAGTCGTCTTGGTCTTCGAATTTGTGTGACAACCTTGAACTCAACAATAATTTGCTGAATTACAATCATTCTTGAACAGAAACTACTGAGGCTCTTCATATTCAGTGAGCTATCAATTAATATTTTATCATTTGTGAAAAGGACTGATTTTTTCAATTTCTTGTTTGACTACTTAAATTTTGTTTGTATAAAAATGTATGTTTTAGTTCGAGAATGCATTTTTTGTTTTCCATGTTTTATTTTCAACGAATGTTCCGAATAAATTTTGAAAGTTTAAGTTTTTTCAGATTAGGTAATTTGAATTACCTGCCTCTCAAGGTCAATTTTTATATGACGTTGTTTACCGCAGTAGAAGACGAAACGATTGTTACTACAGGTTCCAGTTGACCACGGCCTACCGTCTGGATTGTTTACTCTTTAATCGTGATTACGCTCGTGAAAGACTATCTAAACTTATGAATGCATAAATCATTCACTTGAAACTCATTCATCTCTGTTTCTCCGTTCCGCTATATTTTCGGAGGCTGAAATTCTATATGTAGGTTTGTTTTATGTTATAGATATGTTATAATATTACAGCTGGTGGGCCAGCCACGGGAGAAAAGGCGCGTTCATAAAATAAAGTTATCAGTATCAGCATTTCACCCGTGCGGAGCTGGAGCGGGTCGCTAGTGTTCTCATATTATGAAAATGTTGTTTCATGGAAATTCAACTCAACCTCACCCAATCGAATTCAAAAACAGTTGAAATCCTGTCTGAAGAAAACTTACTTATAATAATAATAATGAAGTTGTTCATCTATGCATATTTTATTGTTAGTTATAGAGCGGCAAATGAGGGCTTGAGAATTAATGCATTTACTTGAAGCAATTCTTACTAGATTCGAACACGAGACAGTGCCGAAAAATGACTGAATATAAGCTTTATACATTTATTTGCGACTGGTCTTCACTCATCCTTATCTACTCTCCAACTTCTCATATATATTGCGCTTCAATGAGCCATACCAAAATGCATCCTGGTATACTATCTCATTTAGGTTTATTTTCAGAGCTTCCACCACCCAGCCTATAATAACTATAAAACCCTGTGGATGCTGGACTCAGTACCTCAGATTACCCAGTTTCTCTTCGCAATCCAAGACAAAACCAAGAAACAGCTGGTCCAAAATGTGGTCCAAGAATTCCAAGACCGCGTTCTTTCCATTTCCAACACCTTGGAAAGAGGTCTCATCCACGGTGACTTCAACGAACAGAACATAATCGTAGAGGAACAGAATGGGCAGTATGAGATTAAGGCAGTAATAGACTTTGGAGATGCTCATATAGCTTGTTACTTGTATGAACTGGCGATTACAATGTGCTATATGATGCTCATCGACAAAGATGTTTATGCAGGAGGACATGTTCTTGCTGGATACTCTGCGATTAGGAAAGTTCCAGACGCTGAGCTATCTTTATTGAGGGTGTGTACTGTTTAATCTTTATGGATTGAAAATATTTTTTGATCATTACAAATAATTATTAGTTGTACATACCAAATCACCAATTTGATGAAAATCTCATGACGAGGTATCTCATTTCTTGTAAAGCCTCTTTGTGTTTGTTTTTGAATAATTTGTTGTTGCTTTGCTTTTGGAAATTGCTTAACTCGTTCAGATAGATTGGGGCTTTGAAGTGTCTCATGAATTATAGATGATTTTGACTAATTTTCACTAGACATTCCCTCTATCAAAAATCAACCGTTCACGAGATATTTCAGTTTTACTTGAAAAAATAAAACATTCACATGTTCACCATAAAACTACGGGCTACGAATTCTCCAATTCGAACAGTTACAGAAAGTCTATTAGAGCTAATGATTTACCGTCATAGTTTTCATTGAAACAGGAATTCAGAGTAAATAATAAATTGAAAAATGTTTATTTTGAATGTTTCATAATAGAGCTAAAACTCAAAAATATTGCATTTTCTTTTCATTCAAAATACAGGGCGTTCCAACGAAATCGAAAATTTCAAAGAACACGTCAACTTTTCTATATTTCTAAGGGGACTAATTCTGATATGAAAATCATACCCGAAACTTCACTCCCCTGCGGTCAGCAACTACCTCCATATTTTTTTCAATAACATGGGAGGTCGAGTGATACATAATTTGAAAGTTCTTCTGTCCCTCTATCACTTCTGTAATTTTTTCCGAAATCGGTTCGTTTGTTATTGACACATTAAATGTTGAACATCTTATTTATGAAGAAACAGAAAATTCCTTGTTGCTCATTTTATTGAGAAAATCAATATCAATAGCAACACAATCAATGGATAAAGTGTTCAAAATGACCTGCATCTAGTTTCATACATACAGTCATACAGTCTATTTTTGGGAAAAAAAAATATAACCCCTACAATTCAAATACAGTCTACTTTCGAAAGCGTTCCTTACATTATTGACGATATCCGGAGTCAGAAATCGGCATTTCCGAACAATTAATTATCTGTCGCAGGTCTTCTGGATGTGTAAAATTTATTTAATTAGTAGTAATCGTTTTGAAATGGACGACACTTTTAGTTTTTTCTGCACTGGTAATTTTTGTTGAATCTAGTTGTTGCAGAACAAAAAGTAGATAGTTGGCCACTGTCACTTCTTCACGAATTATTATTCAGTCAATCCTTCTTCACTGTGTTCCAACATGGTTTATCATACTGAAGAAATAATATAAATTATTGCAACCGATTATCGAAATAGTGAATGTGCTAAAGCTGCTGCAAGAATTTATAGTACGAATCATCCAGACCACAACATGGGCCATCAATACGTTAATGGATTAGTTTCGAAGTACAGGTTCTGTTCACAACTGAAAACATGAAGTCTCCCGTCCTGTCAGAAATGACGGAGTTGAAGTCGCAGTTTTAGGATATGCACAAATGGATAATCGACACTCTATCAGACAAGTAGTCATAGCGTCTGGTGGATCAGCTACTAGTATTTTTCGGAATTTGAAAGCCCACAAATTCCATCCTTCCAAAATAAGGCTAATTTAGGTATTGAACAAAGATGATTCTGAGAGTCGTCTTCAGTTTTGTACGACACATATTTTTCAGATGGAAGTGTTTTCATGTTGAATGGTGAAGTGAACAGACATAATTGTCGTTACTGGAGCAATGTGAATCCTCATTTGGTGATGGAAAAACATTCACAAACTCTACAAAAATTGAATGTCTGGGCCGGCATTTTTTTTAATCATATTGTTGGACCATTCTTCATTGAAGGTAAGCTTAATGGAGACACATACTTAAGAAAATGATGACAATTTGGTAGAAAATGAAATAAAATTCCAGCAGGACGGTGCACCCCACATTTTGATTTTCTGATGAGAATTTTTCGACGAACGTATTCCAATGCGTTGGATCAACAGAAGGGGTCCGTGGAGTGGCCAGTTAGATCACCTGATCTCATACCGATGGACTTCTTTCTGTGGAGACACCTGAAGTTGGAAGTGTACTCTACTAAACCTATGAATCTAGAAGACCTGCGACAGAGAATTGTTTGGGAATTGTATGGAACTGAGTGGAGGTCATTTCGAACAATTTATCCGTTGATTTTATTTCCACTGATATTATTTGTTGTTGATTCCCTCATTAAAATGAACTGCAGCGAATTTTCTGTTTTTTTCCTAAATAAAACGTTCACCATTTAATTTCTCAATAACGAATGAACCAATTTCGAAAAAAAAATACACAGGTAATAGAGGGAAAAAAGACCTTTCAAATGATGTATCACTCGATCCCCCAGGCCATCGAAAAAAATAGGGGGTAGTATAATTTTTATATCAGAATTAGTCCCTCTGAAAATAAAAATTGACGTGTTCTTTGAAATTTCAGATTACATGTCCGTTTCTGACTTACAGGGAAGGTCAAGTTTTCCTTGCAACGCCCCGTAAAAAAACTATTTCAAAATATGTGCAGGCAATTATGAAATTGTTATTTACAGCATTATTTTATCGGCATCTAGGACGATAAATGCTTGTGAAACTTTTCTAACTATATTCTCTTTACTTGTTGCAGGATCTGCATATACAGTATTATCAATATTCATTCATTTATTTATCAGCAGATGTGGATTTCCATCAGCCTAAAAATGACTAATAAATAATTTAGTTTTGGTGTACTTCAGTCCAAATAATTATTTCATGAAAAGGTGGATCTTCCTGACTTTTTTCTCAATTCAACGATGCAAATCCGTGTCTTTCAGATGATGTACCACAATCTTTCAAAAACGCGGAAGGATAAACAGCAAAATATCCGAGAACATCTACTTCCAGATCTTTTTCATTCATCTGAGGCTTTCGTTTGGTTATTTTTGAAAGGAATCATCTATGACGCATTGAGATTTTCCAGATAACCTAAACGAGACATTTTGTTCATGAATTCATAAAATACACTTATTCAAATGGCAACATCATCCACTACCTTTATCTGTTTCCGTAGTATTTCAAGTGTTTCAAACGATAATGTATTCATAAACGACATTCTGTCTTCAATAAAACCCATGACGGCAAATTACTAGCTCTAATACGCGTTCTGTAACTGTTCGAAATGAATGTTTTGTAGCCCGTAGTTTTATAGTAGGTTTTATTTTTTAAAGAAAAAATGAAATATCTAGTTACCAGATGATTTTCAATACATGTAATGTTTTATGATAATGCGTGTCAAAACCATTTCGGAATTTCAATACTATCCTAAAATACAGGGTGTTCTATTTGAAAAAACTGACTTTTGGCCTATTTTAATATCTTCAGAATTAGTAATCGAATCCGAAAACCTTGTGTAACATTTTGGAAATGTTACTCCTACAAGACAATGGAATTAAGTATTTTTGATGAATCAATAAAAATGTATGCATGTATTGTATCAGCCCTTTAAATTTTATGGAGGAATGTTAATAAACGCACTGTTCGACGTTAGTTTGCGAAATTTTGTTCCGGAGATTTTAGCCTAGAAGATAACCCCCGAAGTGGTCGACCTACAGTAATCCACGACGTGGATGTAAAGACCGTGGTGGAGACTCACCCATCAAAAACCGTGCGTGGGATGACGGAAGAACTGGGCGACAGCTTTAATGCGGTTTATGATGTTGTGAAACGTATTGGAAATATCAAAATGCTCTGAAAGTGGATTTACCATGATTTGAACGATCAATAGAAATGTTCACGTTGCGAGGTCTATTCTCCACTACTTTTACTCAACTAAAACGATCCTTTTCTGAATCGGATCGTCAAGTGTGATGAAAAGTGGATCCAGGATATTGGTTGACACCGATGAGTCACCCAGACACTTCCCAAAGACGGAAAGTCACCAAAAAAAGACCACGGTTACTGTATGGTGGTCAGCGGCTGATGTGACACACTATAACTTTCTGCAACCGGGCCAAACTATCACAACAGAGTCCTATTGTGAGGAAATAGACTGAGTGTACTGAAAATTACATCAGCAGCAGCCAACACTGATCAACAGAAAAGGTCCGATACTGCTTCACGACAACGACCGTCCGCACGTTTCACAAATTACAGTCCAAAAATTAAACGAATTGAGTGCCAAAGCTCTGCCTCACCCATCATACTCCTCAGACCTCTCGTCAACCGAATACCATCTTTTCAAACACGATAACTTTCTCACCAGTAGAATCTTCGTCAATCAGAACCGGGCAAAAACATTTGCTTCATCAAATTCCGATAACACAATTTTTATGCTGGTGGAATTAATCGAACTGAGTTATGATGGCAGAAGTGCACTGATTCGAATGGCGCTTGATTCGAATAATTTGAATAAGTATTCACTGAGATATTATAGTTTGAAGTAGACTCATGAAGACGGGAAAAACTTTTGAAACAACCTAATACTTTCACTTCCTAGGGGTCCGATATTTGACATCTGTAACATTAGATTCATCTGCCAGAATAAAGAAAGCGGTATACAAAATTCAGCATAAAAACACTTCTTATATCAACTAAGCCAACCATTATAACATTCTTTTTAGGTATACTCAATGAAAAAATATACAATATAGATCTTACATTCATAATTGGAATATCAATACAAAATATAGTCACTCGTTTTATTTCGAAATTTCTGTGGCAAAATAAACTTCGGTTTGATGCTAATGGGATGAGGATAATAAAATAAGTGGAAACATATCACAACCACCCACTAAAATTAACAAATGCTGACGAATTTTTTTTTCAAACAGATTAAATCAACCTCTTGATTTAATCTGTTAAAAAAAATTGACCAGCATTTGTTGATTTTAGTGGGTGATGAATGCAGTCACTCATAGAAGTATAAGAGCCAGTTTTACACAATGATCCCTTATAACTATTCCATTTCGTAGGGGCAGTTTCCTCATTTAAGTTCCAATGATCGTTACTACTATGCGAACATCAGTGTCAATGTAATTAATGTGTGACGTACTGTGATTCCTTGATTAGTTAGAGAACGAAAATTGCTATCAATATAATTTTTAACGAAACTTTCGAATATGATAAATAGTTCCGTTATCAAATTGCATTCTAATTCCATAAATTTAACTTTTTCAGAACTTCACATTATTCCCTATTTCTATTCCAGATTTGTATTGCTGCTCGTTTATGTCAGTCGTTGGTGATCGGAGCTTATTCAAATTTGCAGGACCCTGAAAATTCTTACGTCCTGACCACAGCGGCTCAAGGATGGATTCTACTAGATCAAATCTGGAATGAAACTGATTCTGGTTTATTGCATAAGTGGACTAATATTTAGGGCACGATATTGAAACTGTAGACATCAGAAGCATAACTCATTTGGAAAATAAACATATCCTCATTTTCAAATTTACACAATTTTTTTACACTGTGATAAAAATACTTCATAAAAACAAAACTCTAACTTTTTCGAGGATCTGAACTTTGTGTGTGGATGGGTTCAATTCAGAAGACGAATACTGATTTCCTCAAAAAGGTCGATGAAAGACTCTGATCTCCTGCACAAAAAAATTACTTTTGTTCAATATTTGACAAAACTAACCAAGTTTTAAACCATTTCTCTGAATTCTTCTCTGTGTAATGTCCTATGTCACCCTATATGGTGTGTACTATTTTGTTTATATTGTGATTGGTCTACGTGGAGTAGATTTTTGTCTCTTAAGCGTAAATAAAGACACGACGTGGAAACGATGTAGCGCCACGTCGCTTCTATTGTTCACATAAGAAAAAAAAGCTCAAAAGTTTGCGCTACGTACGCCCGATGTCCGCTCTATGTGAATCAGTGCCGCGCTTAGAAACCTTATAGACCAAGGTCGATAATTTTTGAAACCAAAAAACAATAACAGTAGGATGAAACCCATTAGAAAAGTATGGGAATGGTATAAAAATGAAAAGAAAAATAAATAACAGGCGATCTGAGTTCGGGAAGTGGGGAGGAGTGAGTTTTTGAGGGGAAAAATGGTTTATCTCGATTTCCGGCAAAACTACAAGTCCTGTGGAAAAAAAATGGCAAAGTTGTAGGTAATAAAAAGATCTACAACTATTGTATTCACAATTTTTTCACATAACTTCAAAATTTATGTGAAAAATTCAAATAACCAAGTTTTTGACGGAGCCGCGTTGAAATTAATTGAGTCTCAGACACTTTGCTGTCTGGGTAGGATCTTTCCTGTACTGACGAGAGGTAATACCTCGAAACCATGATCTGCAGGTGATCTGTTTAAGAAAAATCTGTTCAAAATCTGTTTTTCCGTTAATCTACTTGAATAATTTCAGCATGGTCCTACTGCAGCATGTTCTTGCATAAATGTCTGTCGGATATAATTCAATATCCAGCGTGATATCAGCCAAGGAAGTAGTTGTTTACCACACCCTACTGTGTAGGTAGTTGGGAAAGATTAAATACCTATTTATTTCGAAAAACGTTGATGTTGCTTCCAGACCCAATCTGTTGCTGTCAGTTCATTACCCAACCAAGTTTGAAGCTAATAATATCCCCGTAACAATGTTGTTCTGCTGCTCCTTCTGTGGGTGGAAGGTTTGCCAAAATGAAAGATGATTTAATTTTTGCCAATTGATATTTTTGAAATCTTAATTGATTCAGTGTTATATAGATATATTTGATTAATTGTAATCCGTTTTTTTATATCTTCTTTACTTGCATCTTTCTTATAAAAAACATTGGCCAAATTTTACAAATTTTTATCGTCTAATAATGAATTTACAAACTTTTTTTTCCTTTTGCGGCAAATCCAGATGTATCGCAACGGGAAAAACAATGCAACAATATTTTCGAAGGATTCATGTTTGAAACTTTTAGACATGAAAAATAGATCCTTAACATTTCCAGAATTTGGTTTGAGAAAATTATTGTCATGCTTATTAATTGATTTTAAAGGATCAAAAGATCGTGACTGTAATCTTTTTATTAACGTTTTCATTATTTTGTCGTTGTTTTTCTCGTTAGATGAGAATTTTTTTTTGCAAAAATGGTATTTTTATATGATTCTGATAATCAAACTCTGGATATTGGCTCAGGTTTTTCTACGACTACGTTCTCCTCTTTTAGTTAAAGTCGCTGCTGGTACTGTTGTGACAGTAACTGATTTTTTTATTTCGGGGTACCCATCAAAGACAATATAGCTGCTTGCTGCGTAATGGCGCAAATATTCATTCATGATCTCTTGAAGTTTAAATTTTGACAAATAGCTCGAAATTGTACATGATGATTAAAAAAAATCTCAAATTCGAGTTTTTTTCGATTTTTTGCATTTTCTGAGAATATTTACTATGTATTTTTTCACACCATCAGAAAGTAGAGATTTCAACGAACAAAAAGCACACCGACTTTTTGAAAAAAAAACTGATATTTTGACGCGAAAATGATTTTACTGAGATATTAAATAGCTCATAGACATTCACAAAAATATTCTCTTTCACAAGCACTCTTCTGGAATTTTCCTGAACTCCTCCATGAGGCACCGCCAGGAGTCCAGCACCTCCTCGTGATGATTTATGGTGCTGTCGAACCTCTTGATATTCTCCGAGCACTTCTCAATCTGCCTCAGTTCCTCCTTAAACAAGGAAGCGCAGATATCGTACAAATTCTTTCTCTTCTGCAACTCCCCCTCGTAGTTGTTCAACCTACTCTCCAAGCACTTTTGCTCCTCATAATTCAGAGCCAGTTCGTTTTCGATTTTGGTCACGAGATTTTTCGTTTTCCTCGAGATTTCTTCGAGCTGTTCTTCCTCTATTTGATTGGCGAGCTCCAGAGAGAGATTGTGGTACTCGAAATCCCCCATGCCCGACGGCGCGATCTTTTTTTCTTCTTCCTTGGCCGCCATTTTGTCTTTGACCTCGTTCTGATGCCTCTGGTTGTTTTTCATTAGCGGTTTGATATAGTCGGCCATCACTGAATGTATGTATTTCATTTATATGGTTGAACCAAACCAGGAAATTTTGACACAGTTGACAATCAAACTGAAGGCTGTAGTGTCATCGTTGATATTGTGGGCAGTACCAAATCTGCATAGAAACCCTAGTGTTTAAACAGATTCGCTTTTGTTCTGTCAAAAACTCTCGAAGCGAGAACTGAGATTGACTCAACTTTGTACAAGTGTAGATAGATGGAGCAAAAATCGAAATATGTCGCTCGTGGACCATAATGTAGAAAATCTTTCACTCAATATCAATTGATTTGCAAATGTAAATGACATTGAAGATTGAAGTACCAATTTGTCAGTACCAATTTGGCAGTATCACTTTTAAGTGTAGGTACTCAGCACCTCTGTGAATGGGAGGCTGAATTTTATAGGATTTCTTTATCGAAAGTGCCGTAGGTCGAGAGTTTTTGACAAATTAATTTACATAGGGAGGTACCATAGTAATGACAGTCCACTGAATTTGTTATTTCTGAAAAAAATTGTAGATGACATCACGTAAAGTAATGATCATGTTTAAGTATCAACAGTCACCAAATCGAAATGCTTCACGATTCAGGAGCCGCACATTCCATCAAATGAATATTCTAATGGAAAAAATTGGAAAGATAGCCTTGATGTAAACAAAAAATTGATGCTTTTGGAACTGCACAAGTTACTATCGAATCTTTTGAAAACTGAATAGTGTTGTCAGTATATGTTTTAGCATTCTAGGATATTCCACTTTTTGGGCCACTTCTGACCAAAACAGTCCAGTTTCTAAATGTTTTGTTAAAGGAAAGCCTTTTATTAATCTAATACCACCAGCTCATAATAGTTGATTCCAAAGAAGAAATGTAGCAATGTTGTGTTTTACATTTTATCATTCTGTATTCAGAATACGTTTTTGTCATGTTGCCTAGTGGTTGTAAAATTAGAAGATCTTGTAATCGAACAAGAATTAAATGAAAAAGTATTCTACGGTTACGTTATTAGCTATTGGTTCCCTAATACTGTGCTTCCCATGATCCTATAGATTCGATTTCAAAAAACATGTTGACAAGAGAGAAATAAAACGTTGATGATTCAGTGTGGCCAATATAAACAAACAAATGCACAACTTTTTCGTTTCGTTTGGAAATTTTAGATCGATAACATCAATGAAATACATCTACATATGATGAATCAATTATTTATAGAGTTTAAATTTCCCAAGTTTCAATAAGAAAATGGTTTGTGACATTGTGGAAAACTACCTCATTATTTATTATAGCGAGTGTGGTTGGAAACTTGGAATGTCTGCAGCGAAAAGTGAAAATATAGAAACCAATTAGATTTTAATTAGTGTGTTTATTTATGTTTATCGATATAGTTATGAAACTACACTTGTGATTTCAAATCAAAAGATAACATTGGGTTTGTTGGTCGTTTCTTGATCCACTCCTTTATAGATGGGACTTCCAGGATATTCTGTTTCACTTTGGTCAAATTTGGATAGTCAATCAAGATGTCTTTCTTCAGCATATTTCCCAGTGTCTCATAGGCGCATAGGAATATAATATCAGCCCACGAAATCTGAAACAGTTCATTCTCTCTTGATGGTAGATACATCAATGACACAGAATAATATCGTCCTACACAGTCATACACAGTCCTAGAGAAGATCTAACACAAAGAAGAGTACCTGTTGAAGACGCTGAGTACAGAGTACCTGAGTTGAGACGCTCTGACCGTATAAAAAGGAGACACATGGTGACAAGTTCTGTTTGAGGAGTGCCTAGAAGATGACAGTACTACCAACTGTCATAAGCGCTCGCAGATAATTAATAAAAGATATAAAGCTTCAAATCCTTTNGCAACTAATTTTCCTTTATTTTCAGTTTTTCAATATTATTATAAGTTACAAAAATGGTTTGAAGCTTTATAACTCCTATTCAATCATATGCAAGCGCTTTCGACAGCTGGTCGTGCTGTCATCATCAAGGTTCTACTCAAACTGTAGTTTGAGTAGAGCATGAAGGGTGGTATCGACTTTTTTTAACGAATAAGAAGTGAAGGTCTTGTGATAATTCGTATCCAATTTTTAATGATTCACAAACAAACGATGAATATCATAATTATAAGGAAAAATGTATTCTAAAGTCACCTCAGTTCATTCCAGAAAATATTTGAATTGGTTACCATTCACTTCCTGACAATAATAAAATTTGTTTAAAAATTCATTATGACATGTTTCTGGAATAATTTCATTAAGAGCGCCTCTTATTCTAACCATGAGCTCTGAAGTAGGCTGTACCGTTGTGTAACTCAAACTTCAGATTCCACCAATCCCCACAAAAATCTGAGGGTGTTATATCAGATAAAGCAGCGGGCAATTTTAATGGATCACGTTTACCTATCCAGTAGCCACTTTCAAACTTTCAAAAAGAGGTACCTCATATTGCTAAAAACGAATATTAGATGAAAACTCGTTTGGGTTTGACAATTTTTCAAAGCGGTTATCAGAAAAACGTGATCTCTTAGAGGAGCCTACTGGATCATCTGATATGATGCCTCTAGATGTTTTTGGGGGACTATGTGGTATCTGGAATGTACGACAGATGCTCTAATTCCTTTTAGAATTCGTGGATAGGAGAAGAGGTGCTTGCAACGATATTACCTCAGGAACATTTCACAATGTAGGAAGAATTTTGAAAACTGTGAATGAGAACATTTGTAATATTATTGGAATTTATTGTGATATTTATAGTTTGTTTGCAGATTCCTCAAACGAATATAAAACTGGTAATTACTCGAGAATCGCTAATTCAATTTCCAACAATAAAAACGAATTGGTTAGAGAATTGACACACCTTTCTATTCGGAAAAAGTTGGCAGTGTCCTCTCGGCGACGAGTGATGCAAAACTTTTTTTTATCAAAATGTTTTAAAAATTTTACCATTTTTTTTACTATATTGTTCCGTTCAAAAGTTAAGAGTGGGGGACTATTCACGTCCGCACTATATTTAAAGAAGATACATAGTGAAAGAAAGAGATGCACTATGGAAGCGTAGGAAGTTCTTTTGCTCGTGGGTTGAAAACCAATTTTGGATTGACTTTAGAATGCAGGAGTCGTATTTTGTTTTGTTTCATTCGAAGTTGATTGTGGTTCTGGGACAATTCAATATTTGTGGGGCCTGATAATTTCTTGGCTTTCCTGCAGTCTGATTTCTATACTGTGGTAATGACGGTTGTCCATTATCATAGAAACTAAAGACAAAACAAACGCTACTTTTAAACAATAACAATATAAAAGATTGAATAATAATAACAAGAAGGATAGTTTCCTAATGGTGTTATTTCTGGTGAACTTAAGTAAAATAGAAGAATTCGTTGCGTACCACTGTCAAAGATATACTAAAAAATGTATTTAATCAATAATTGAGAGTTGTTTTAAGATAATAACGATTTATCTCACCCTGTTTAACGCAAGGTATCCACCATTTTTTTCTGCATGTATTTCCAACTTCTTGAGAAAGAAGGGAACGTGTTCTTTCAATGTAGTCTCTTCTAAAGCCTTCTTTTTCTCTTCGTTTTTCTCATATGCCCATTCGGAAACTTCTGAAAATTGAAAAATGCCATTGTGTACACCAAAAGTCAACTGTTAATAGTTTCAAATTGGAAATGGAAAATCTTTCGACATTTTTGAATGGAGAAACTTTAATTTATTTTCAAATTTGACACTACTTACTTTTTTTTAAATCTTCAATAGTATCGACAGCAACATCAATTTTCAAATTTTCAAATTCATCTTTACCACTGAGATTTGCTTTATTGGCTAGGAATCTGCAAATTGCTGTACTCTGGGGTATCATATGGCCCTGGAACTCCAAAACGGGAAGTTGTCCCAACGGCAATGCTAAAGAGTATAGGGTATCAATGATATAATAGGGTCTAGTTTCCAATTCAAAATTATTGTATACTAAAACAACGTAAAGAAGTGTGCATAACTGTGTCAATTGCATAAAACAGGCTTATGAGGAGCGTAGTGGACGTCTGGCTGTCACCGAAAGTCACAACGTTCTGGAAATAACCTTCGACTCAATGCTTCTATTTATCACTACAAACTGCCTTATATGGCCCCAATCCTCAATAGAGAGGATTGGATTCTCCGGGAGATAGAAATACTAACAGCAGATTACTCTTGGACCAGGACAAAGATATTAACCTACTTGGGGATCTATGCGTCTGTATTTCAAGCGAAAATCTACGCCTTTGATTCGTGTCTAAGAACATTGAAAGAAACGAATCTCACATATAAATCAATGGAAATATTCTCGTATAGCGGTTTCGAAAGCACTTGGCTTTCAATGATGAACGACCAAGTTGGCTAAAAAATACTCTCCTCAATTGGAAGACCAATCTGGTCTGGATTCCTGACCATACTGGCCTGGAAGATAATGAATTTGCTGACACTCTTGCAGGGAATGACACTGCAAGCGATCTCATCGAACCTTATGTTATTGAACAGTTGTTAGACTACTGCAGGGATGACCTACGTTGTCTAATAGGCCTACTCACAGGTCGCTCTCGACCGAAAACCGAATAGGTTTTCAGTGTTTGGTAGAGTTTTACTCTTGCTATTACTATGCTTACTAAATGAATAGGCCAAGCAGCTTTGCTAAATAGCTGAATTCATTTAGCCGAGTTTTAATTGGTGTGAGCCACAATGAAGCTTCGCGAGTTAGAGTGAATCAGCCCACTCACTTTGAACCAGCCTACACTAAAGCTAACTGCAGTATGAAAAATCCTAAAAATGTTCAGACAAATATATCATCATCACATATTGCACATTTTGCACTGTTTCGATTTTTTAAGGTGATTAAAATATCAATTGTAGAAATATATCAATATTTTGGTTGGTTTCCAGTTTTTGTCGTGGTCTTCTTAGGTTACAATCTCTGAACGATTCAAGTGCAATTGCGGCAATAATCTTCAGTGAACACCAGTGAAGAGCGACCCCAAGGCACTGTTTATCTACCATACATAAAAGGTGTCACCGAATTGGGAAAATTCTAAAGAAGGACAAAATTAACACCGTCTTCAAACTAATGGAGGAAATATCAGAGTATCTAAGATCAGCAAAAGACAGCAGAGATCCAGGATTCTATGTAACTGTGGTAAAGTTTATATCGGTCCGACGAAAAGAAAAATTGATTCTCGCCTAATCGAGTACAAGCGGAATTGCCGATTCAGACAGACCGAGAAGTCTGCAGTTGCTAACATGTTCTGTCCGACGGAGATAACAAGATCCTGTTCTAAAATACTGAGAGGCTAGCAACGTCGAATCATTATTCAACAAGAATGTATTTAGAAGCCATAGAAATACACAAACACCAAGAGAACTTCAACAGAAAAGAAGAAAAAACATATCTATCAAAGATCTGGCACACAGCATTGAAAGGCGCGAAAACGAAGCCATGTCATCCAAAACACAGAAAGTGTGCGAAAAATCATTCCATAAATGATATGGCAAAAATGAGAGCTTCAGTTTCAGTTGACACGTCAAGGAGAGTACTTCGACCACTCCACTGAAGATGGTTGCCGCAGTTGCAGTTGAAACATTTGGATATTGTAAACAAAGAAGACCACGGCAAAACGCAGAAACCAACCAAAACAAAATATCAAATGTTATTTTTAGATTAATTCAACCTTACTTGGTTTGAGTTTCTGGAATTCTTCTCTGCTGACTCGAACATCTTCAAAATCCAATTTCCCATAAGATAAAATCATCCTGATGGGTTCCGCTCTTCCAGTAAAGTCAAAGTAATGAACTTTGTATGTAGATGCCATTTTGAATTTGGTTCAGTTATTACGGGTTACTCTGTAAAATAAAATATCAAATCGAAGTGTTTTAAGCTCGAGGAATGTTGCGCGCCAAGTAAATGATGGATTTATAAGTCATTGACTCTTGTTCTTTTCGATTTAAAGGTGTCATCCCAAAAAAATACACCATATAGGAAATTTATTTCGTATTCTCACTGAATAGGTTATTTTCTTAAAATTGTTTGTAAAGTAATAAACGATACATCAAGAGATGTCGGTAGTTATTTTATTGCTGACTCGCCATCTTCCACAACCATTTAACACATTTCCACTTCTACCTCTGCAGATAATTTCGCAGCTGTTTGGGGATTTTTGAAATGGTTGTCGATACTGTATTTTTTTTTAATTCCTTTGAAATACGTCATACTGTAGTATGATTGACATTGCATCTTCATATTATTCAAGTAGTACTTATCATCAAACGTAATAACATAATAAATATTTAGCAAATATGTCAGAAACTTAATGTCAAACATTGGTTCGTTTTCGAAGTCAACTTAAACCAATTATTTTGGAATATAAAATCTCCAAAAAAATAAACGTAAGGAATTTGTTTCAAAATACTCATTTTATGTTGATGCTTTGTGATTTTATATTATTGAATATTAAGTTCTTGTTACAATACTGTATAATTTTGAGCAATTTTTGGTGTTAACACTAACACATTTAACACAAATTCATAGTGAAAATCATTCAATAAACTGTATTAATTATTTTTTCAATATGGATTTTCGTTAAGTATCGGCCAGTTCTATTCAATC